AATTTATAGCATAATGAGCCATGTAATTGAGGCAGATGGGGGTAAGTTGCTTTTTTCAGGATCTGATCATTTGGCCCAAATACTGACTCAGAACTGGTGTCACATTTGTTTTTGCACAGAAACCTGATTTTGAACGGAAATCAGCCTGCATCTTTTGCAGAATGTGCAGAGAATTTATCATTTATGTCTGAAAATATATCAGAGGGTGACACTCTTGGGTCAGTAACATTGAAAGGCCAGTGATCCACCTAACGCTGCAGTTAACAGTGTGGCAACTGCAGCTGCCTTTTTGCCTACAGGATGTATCATTACTGAAATGAACTTGAACAAGAGAGAACACGATGTTTAACCTTTCCAGTGAGCCTCTGCCTCCACACCCACTCTTTACACTGCTACTCCACAGTGCTCTCATATGGATGCTCCTCATTGCAAACAGCTGAGCCTCAAGCGTGTCAAAAAAATGAGTCGGAAAATATTTTAATGAAGGCAGAAATGTCACAGGCCATTGCTATGTCATCGTTTCACTCGTCCACGTATCTGAGTGTTGGGGATCTCAGTGATTTTGTCACCCTAATAGGATTTGTTTGTACATGGGCCAAATGACTCAATAGAGACACTCATTTCTGTCTCATTGCATGTAAAGAAGACTGAAGCAGAATTGTTGGAGTCTGACTGAGGCTCCTCTTTCTTCACTGTTCTTTCATGCTGTCATCACTCCTCCCTTCCAGAGAGACATAAGTATTCCCAAGACCTGTACTCTGACCGAACCATCAGCTGTTTCTGGACTACTCGTCTTACCTTCACTCTCCTTAGCCGTTCTTTAAGGCACACACACATACACACACACACACACACACACACACACACACACACACACACACAGACACACTAAATAGTTGAGACGACAGAATGCACAAGTGGTCCCCAGCTATAGCTTGAAACAGACAATTTAGATACTGCAGACAGGTTGGTGTGCTGCTGTTAGTACTGTCTGTGTGTGTGTGTGTGTGTGTGTGTGTAAGAGAGAAGCCTTTCTTAGTGATGAATATAATGGCCTGAATCAGTTCCTTCCTTTCAGTGCAGTATGTAGGAGAAAGATATTGTGTGTGCATAGAAAGAGGTACACAGTGATTGGTCCGGCTGGATTCTGATTTCTTTTTGTGCGTCATTTTCTTTAGCCTACTCATTTCTATTCAGGTTCGCATGAGGCTGGAGCATATCTCTGTGTACATTAAGCAGTAGGGAGAGAAACAACCTGCCTGGAGGGGACTCCCTCAGATACAGTCTTTTAAAATACCATCTGTGACCAAGTGTAATTAGAGATCTTGGAGGAGCATACTGTAGAAGAGAATACCGTCATTTTTTGTATTTGTTTTCAAAAAGGCTGGACTCAAGGTGTTATAAGATTTGAAATAGAAAATTTGTAGCAAGTCTAAGAATGCAGGCAGGCTTCCAAGCAAAGAGATCCATAGGAGACAGGGCCCTGTGATTTGTTATCAGGGTAACCTGAGGTTTAGTTCAGGGTTTCCAGTCTTAAGAAGCTTGTTTACTTCATATCAAGGTAGATCACCATGGTAACTTATGCTGAGCGGCTAACCTGTTCCGGAGCAGGTTAGAGTTAGGGTGAGAGATAAACCCATATAAAATCTATATAGTTTAATATTGCTGCAACGAGATTGTGAGCGGACTAACTCATTGTCACTCACTTTTAGCTATAGCATCCACACGTTACACAAGATGGCTGCAGACACTGCGGTGAAGTCTGACGTCAGTCAAGTTTCAATCCATATATTCAAGATTTCATTCAATATATTCAAGGTTTCATTCAATATATTCAAGGTTTCATTCAATATATTCAAGGTTTCATTCAATATATTCAAGGTTTCATTCAATATATTCAGACTTCATTC